AATTGTCGTTGAGAATTTGCTGCAGCACAAGCCCGAGGGAGATTCCATATTCGAGACATGCCACAGGCTGCTGCAGACAGTGCTAAACCAAACCCATCCCAATGGCCATCCGGCGTGTTAAAGGGATTCGAGGAGCCGAAGATGCATGGAAGAAGAGTTCATGGCCCTCTGCCAGGATTCGCAAGTGAAGCTCAAGCAGCTCTGCTCAAGTGGGATGAGTTTGACTCAATAATCGAGGAGCTCGATAACTGGATGAAGAATGTCGAAGCTGTGGTAAAGAATCAAAGCCTAAAGAGCACTGCCGAAGCTAAGAACGCCCATCTGAAGCAGCTACAAGATAGTGCCAAGGACATTGAACGTCGTGGCGTAGCCATAAATCAACTCATGGATCAGGGACGGGAAATCGAAGGAGAAACCGATCTGAATTTGAAACTTTCCCGTCTAAATACACGCTATCAGACACTGAAGAATCTGTGCAAGGAATCGATTGCCAAGTACATCAACTACGTCAAGGATCACGACAGCTTTGACGCCGACTACGATCAATTTAAGCAGGACTTGCAAAACTGCGCCAACGAGCTGGCGAAGACAAATGAAATTGTTGGCGATCAGAGCGTACTGCAAGAGCAGCAAAACAAATTGCGTGAGATGTCGGACAAGCGCATTGTAGACTCCACTGTCTTCGAGAGTCTGATTGATCGCGGCGAGAAGCTCTACGGCCACACAAGTCCAGAGGGTCGTGAGATAATACGTCAACAGCTGCGCTCCCTGCGCACCCTGTGGGACAACTATACGGACGATCTGAACTCGGCTACGCATAAGATCGATCAGTGTCTGCTGCAATTCAATGAGTTTACCATAGCTCAAGATCAGCTGACCAAGTGGCTCAAGGATGTGGACAAGGCCATGCAGAGCCACACGGAACCGAAAACCACGCTCCAAGAGAAACGCGCTCAGTTGCAGAACCACAAGCTGTTGCATCAGGAGATCACCACGCATAATGTGCTCGTGGATAACGTCTGTGACAAGGCGCAAATCCTAGTCGATCAAATCAAGGACAACTCGTTGAACATTTATCTGCAGTCAATCAAGCAACTCTTCCAGAATATTGTGCAAAAGTCCGACGAAATACTGCAGAATCTGGAGAGCTGCGTGCAGAAGCACAGCGAGCTAAATAATGCCTTGAGTTCGGCCAAGACTTGGATCTCGAATGAGAAGGCCAAACTGCTCGAGTGCGACGATTCCTACGGTGAAAAGGCCGATATAAAGCGTAAGATTGAAACGCTGGGACAATTGGCTCAAACAAAGCGCAGGCCGTGAATCTAGTAAGCGAAATTCGTGCACAGTTCGAGACGGTTAAGCCCCGCTACCTCGGAGAAGGGTGTTTGAAGTGCTCGAGAAGGAAATCGATGAGCTGGAGACAACAATGAAAAGTCACTTTGATGACATCGAAGGCATCGAAGGCAAGCAAAGGAGTACTCTCGCAGTGGGGATAAATTTGAGCGTAATCTGGAAGAGCTCACTAAATGGTGTCGCAATGCGGAGGCTGTCTTCCGTGAGCAACAGCTGAAGTCAACGCTGCATGAGAAGGTCGAGCAAATGGACAAATATAAAATACAGCGAGAGCTCATACTGCAAAAGGAGAAGGAAATCGATGCCTTTGGCGATACGGCGCACGCTTTGCTCAACAACTGCGGTGCAGATCGCCTCAAGACGTTGACAACACAAATCACAAATCGTTATCAACTGCTGCAGGTGTTGAGCAAAGAGGTGGTCAATCGTTGGTCCAATCTGGTTGACGAACATCAGTTCTACCAGGACAAATACACCGAGGTGGACCTGTGGCTGAAGCCGATCGAGACGAGCTGGAAAAAGCACTCAAGGACGAACCCACACAGAGCTCGAATATACTGCCCGTTTTGCTTTCCGAGAGGGAGCAGGCCGAGAGCTTATTTGGAGCATTGAATGCTGCTGGCGAAAAGGCTCTGCCAGAGACATCCACCCAGGGCAGAGAGAAGATTCGCAAGGACTTGCGTGACATACGCGATCGTTGGGATAAACTCGACGAAGGCATTCGTAATTTGGAGAAGCGTCAAGAGGCACAGTCCGTACAGCTATCCAGCTATCAAGATATACTAAGTCAAACGCTCAACTGGCTGGATCAAGTGGAAAAGTTACTGCACAATGAAAGCCCTGCCACCTGGACCAGTGCACAGGAAATTCGTTCCAAACTCTACAAATACAAGGCGACAAATCAGGACATCAATTCGCACAAGCGCATTGTGGAGGCTGTCAATGAGAAGGCAGCAGCGCTACTGAGCAGCGCCGCCCCAGCCAATGCTGATGAGATCGCCAAGTCTGTGACTGACATTAATAAGCGGTATGAACAGGTTGGACAGGATTGTGCGAAGCTAGTTGCCGATCTCGATGCCGCATTCGAGGTGTATCAGCAGTTCAGTGAGCTGCAGAAGGCACAGCAGGATTATCAGAAGAACCTATGGGATCGGTTGACCGGCTACTCTGACTATTCGGGCAACAAGGCCGCGCTGCAGGCACGTCTACAGAAGATCAATGAAGTCCAGGATGCACTGCCCGAGGGCGTTGCCAAGCTGAAAGCACTGGAGGAACACATTGAGCAGCATGCTGGCGGCATACCAGCCCGTTCAAAGGAGGCAATGACCCGTGACTTGGCCAATTTGCATGCCGATTTCGAAAAGTTCGGTGGTTCGCTGAGCGATGTGAAGAGCGGACTGGAGAATCGTTTGCAGCAATGGAATGACTATGAAGTCGATTTGGATCGCTTGATTAATTGGCTGGGCGAAGCTGAGAATACGCTCAAGAACTACAATCTGAAGAATTCGTTTGAGGAAAAGGAAGAGCAGCTGAATCGCTTCCAGTCAATGACTCAGACTCTGCGCCAGAACGAAGCGGACTTCGAGAAAATGAAGGACGACACCTCCGAGTTGGTGCAGAGCTCGGGCGAAACTCGAATTGCTGTCAACGTGCAACAAGTGTCATCACGTTTCCAGTCCATACAAGCAACTGCCAAGGAAATACTCAAGAAATGCGAGCAAGCTGTTCAGGATCATGGCCATTTCAACGAGAAGTACAAGCAATGCGCCGATTTGTTGGCCAACGCCCAGGCGCGCTACGATGACTGCAGCGACCTGTCGACGGTGGCATCGCGCGATGATCTGCTAAAGAAACAGCTGATCATACAGGAATTGCTGGCACAACAGCCAACGGCCACTCAGCTGCTGAATAGCACCGTCGAGCTGGGTGAGAAGTGTTATAGCTCAACGGCTACGGAGGGACGTGAGGCCATACGCAGCCAACTGAACGATCTGACCTTTGATCAGCTGTTTGACAATATTGCCAGCTCTGCTCGTAAGATACAGGATAAGATTGCCAAGTGGTCTGGCTTCGATGAGACTGCTGACAATCTCAAGAGCTGGCTAGACAGCGTGGAGCATGAATTGCCAGCGGATATTGAGCTGAAGACCACGCTGGATGAGAAGCGCAATAAGCTGCAGGCCTATCGCGATGTGCTCAATGATATATCAAATCATCAGGTGGAAGTTGGCAATCTGCAGGAGATTGCAGCCAATTTGCCAGAAAAAACTGAGCATGTGGATCAGATCCTTAAGGATATCACAGATCGTTTTGGTAAACTGCAAAAGCGCGCCCAAGGCTATGTGGAGCGGTACGAGGGCATTGTTAGTGCTCATCAGCAATACTCGAAGGCTGTCATGGATGCGCAGGAGTTCATTGATGCCACGCTGAATACTGTGCACTACTGGGGCGATCTTGATTTGGAGCAAACCTCTCTGCATACCAATCTAGATCGTCTGAAGAACTTGAAGGCCAGCCTGGCCGACGAGTTTCCACGCGTGGATCAAGTGCGTGCACTGGGCGAGAAGGTGATACCCGGCACCGTTGATGTGGGTCAAGTGAATATCAAGTCCCAGATCGATACAACACAACAGGAATGGGAAGGTCTACTGGCAGCCATCAGTTCAACCATCGAAGCCATCGAAGCACGCCTGCAGCAGTGGTCCGAATATGAGCAACTGCGCGATCAGTGCTTGGCCTGGATACGTGACACCGACAATGAATTGCATGCCATTTTTCTTAAGGAGGATCTGCCCAAGAAGCGTGCCCAATTGGATACGTTGAAGGCACTGCAAGGTGATGTGCGCGCCAAGGAATTGGAAGTTGATAATGTTACGGAGAAAGCGCAAACATTGCTGAAGGGACCCAGCACAACGCGTTCGTCTGGCCCCGAATTGGTAACCAAATATCAGCAAATCTTCCACAAGGTCAAGGACTTGAATAATCGCTGGCAGCAGTACGTTAGCTCGCACGAGGACTTCGATAACGCCATCAGCGAGTGTGCATCCTGGATAAATGGCATTAAGGAGAAATTGGACTACTGCTCGGACATGTCATCGATGAGCCAAAAGGAACTGGATAAGAAATTGGCCACCATACAGGATGTGATTCTGCTCAAGGACGAGGGCTCTGCGCGCGTGCTTAAGATCTTAGAGCAGGCTCAACACGTGCTGGCAAACACAGCGCCCAATGGCCACGAAGCCATTAACAAGGAGCTCTCCGAGTTGCAAGATCTTTGGTCCGGCATTGCTCTGCGTATTATGGATGTCAAGGCGAATCTGGATGATTCCATAACGCAATGGTCTGGTTTCCTGGATCAAGTGCAAAACGTGCGCAAGTTCAATGAATGGCTGGATGCCTTGCTAAAGGAATTGGGTGAGCATCAGACGACAATGACTGAGAAACGTGCACAGCTGGATCGCGTCAAGTCCACGGAGGAGAAAGTGCGCGTGGAGAAAATCGATGTGGATTCGCTGAAGATTCAGGCTAAGGAAATGATTGCCAGCGGCCAACAGAGTCAAGCGGCGTTCCAGGCACAGAAAGTGCTCGACACGTTCGATGAACTGTTTGCCAAGACACAGAAATTGCTGTCGGATCGTCAGGATCAGTACAGAGATCATCGTCTATTCAAGGAAGCCTACGACGATCTAGTCAGCTGGATAAGTCGCGCTCGTGAGAAATTCCCAGCACTGAAGCAGAGTAGCCTCAGCGATAAGCTGGCCATTGAGAATGCCGTGCAAGCCACCGAAGCTCTGCTCAACAAACAGGCGCAGGGCGAACTTCTGGTTGAGCATTTGGTGCACACTGGCGAGGTGGTGCTGGCAAGTACATCGACGCAGGGCCAAGAGATCATACGCAATGATATACGCGCACTACGTGATAGCTTCGAAAGTTTGTTCCGCGAGATCAATCAGCAGAAGGAGAACTTGGAAGTTACCATGGTGCAATGGCGCGCATATAAAGAGGAGTATGAACGTCTCATGGAGTGGCTACAACAGATTGATATACTTGTCAAGAACCATAAGCTAAACCTGTGTCCCAATCTGCCCGACAAGGAGAAACAGGTGGCCGATATGCGTGAGGTAATGTCTCGCCTGGAAAAGGGCAAGGACGACATTGATAAATTTAATGCCTCCGCTGCGGGTCTACTCAAATCGCATCTGGATAGCTATGTGAACAATCAGCTCAGACACTTGGGCTCCATGTATCAGGTACAGGTTAACCTGGCCAAGGATGTGCTGAAGAAGGTCGAAACCAATCGCGATCAGCATCGCGAATACGATGCCAACATGAAGTCGGCCAGGGATTGGATTTCGAATGCCAAGCAAACGATTCAATCGGCTGGCGATGGCGCTGGCTCCAAGGAGGCGCTGCAACGTCGCCTCGAGCAAATACAGGACTTAATACGCAATCGCGAATTTGGTCAGAATCTGGTGCACACAGCCATCAATAATGGTGAGAAGATCATACGGAATACGCGCTCGGATGGACGCGATGCCATTAACAGTGAAATGAAGGAGTTGCAAACCGATTGGGATCGATTGGTCAAGAAAATGTCCACAGCCAAGGTGCAGCTGGAGACAAATCTCTTGCAATGGGCTGACTACAGCTCCAGCTATACGCAGTTGCAGCAATGGATTACCGACAGAGAGGCCAAGCTGCAACAGGCGTGCGAGCAGAAGATCATCAAATCCCAGCGTGGACAACCCGGTCTCAGCAGTGGCCTGAGCGAACGCAAGGCTAATTTGCGCCAAACGAACAACATTGTCCAGGACATTGTCTCATTTGAGCCCATGATACAATCGGTGACCTCGAAGGCCTCCGACTTGCAGCAGGGTGCACCGGCTACGGAAATTTCCGATAAGTACGAAAATCTGACCAAGCAGGCCAAGGATCTGTATGCCAAACAGAAGAACACCATCGATAGCTACCAGGCGCTGATCGATGCTGGCAACGACTTTGCCACCTGGCTGCGAAATGCCAAGGAGAGACTGAGCAAGTGCTCTGAGCCAACGGGCGATAAGCAAGCGTTGGCTGAGAAGACGCATCAGCTCAAGATACTGCAAGGTGAAGTTCCCGAGGGCTCAGCGAAGCTACAAAATGCTTTGGCCCAGGGCGAGATCGCTTGTCGCACAGCAGAGCCCGAGGATTGCGCGATCATTGAACAGGAAGTCGCTCTCCTACAGGAGGAGTTCGATGTCTATGTGGACGCGCTCGACAAGGCCAAGGTTTACCTGGAGGTCGGCATCGTCAAGTGGTCTGACTACCAAGATCAGTACACCGAGGCGCTCGAATGGTTGACCCAGACTGAGGCGCAGGTGCAGTCCTACAACAAGCTGCAGGACAGCCTGACCCAAAAGAAGGTGGTGCTGGAGCAGTTCCAAGGACTACTGCAAACCCTGTTCGATTGGCAAAAGACACTGGACAATTTGAACATGAAGGCCCAAGTTCTGCTCGAGACCTGCTCCGATACACGCATCAGCAATGGCATTATGCAGTTGACCACCAAATACAACGCGCTGCTCACATTGGCCAAGGAGGTAATGCGACGCCTGGAGCTGCACTACCAGGAACATCAGCAGCATCACACACTGTACGAGGAATGCCAGTCGTGGATCGAAAACACACGCGAAAAGCTGGCTGAGTGCGAACAAATACCCGGCACGCTGAACGAGGTGCAAATCAAATTGAATACGGTTAAGAACTTGCGACAGGGCTTCGAAACGGGACAGAACAAGCTGCGCTATTTGCTGGAGCTGAAGGAGAAGGTTATTATGAATACCGAACAGAATGGCGCTGCCAAGATTCAAGAGGATACCGAATCACTCAAGCAGGACTTCGATAAGCTGCTTGTCGATCTGAACGATGTGCGCCAGAAATTGGCGAATCGCTTGTCCCAGCTGGAGGAGATCTTCAAGCTGTACAAGATACTGCTTGAGTGGCTGGAGGACATTGAGCCCAGTGTCAAAGCCAGCGACGAGTATCTGAATGACTTGAGCGAAAAGCGCGCTGCTCTGGAGAAATTCCGTGTCACCCAGCGCGACATCAACGGACACAACGATATTGTGGAGAAGATCAATGTGCGTCTGCGCGAGGACAATAGCTTGGACAAGAACGATTTCGCAGCGGGTCTGAGCAAATTCGATGCGCTGCAAGCGCAAGTCAACAAGATCATCGAGTCGCTGGAGAACCAGGTGAACAATCACGACAAATACAAGCAGGCCTACAATGAGCTGCAAGATTGGCTGCGTCGCACACGCATCGAGGTGGAGCAGTGCGCCGATTGCCATGGCGAAAAGGATCAGGTGGAGGAGCGCTTGAATCGCCTGGGTGATATACAGGCAACCTCCATGGAGGGCAAATCGCTGCTCGATGCTTGCGAAGAGCTCAGCCAGGCGGTCATAGCCACCAGCGGCAGCGAGGGTCAAGACAATGTGGCCCAGGAGATCAAGCATCTGAATGGCGAATGGGAAACACTTCAAGCTCTATCGCGAGATGCGCGCAGCGGCCTGGAGACCTGTCTGGCTGCTTGGGAGACATTCCTGCAAAAGTTCAACAAAATCAATCTGTGGATTGTTACGATGAGCAAGCGCGTTGCCAAATCACAGGAAGCCGATAATAAAACCACCGAAGATTTGGTCAATGCCAAGGTAAGCCACAAGTCTCTCGTCAAATCTCACGCAACTGTCGCACGCAACGCTAACCCCAAAGAAAATTGTATTTATATAATCAATTGAAATGAACTAAAAACGAGTGCACCCCGTAGCAAAATTTCAATATATATCTATATGTAAACTGATTCACAAACTAAACAAAACTAATCAGAGTTGCTAACTTTTCAGCTAATCACTTTCACACTCACACTATTGCAGCTAATCATTTCTACACAGACTTTGTCTAATGCCTATTAATGCTTAATATATACACACACACACAGCTCTCTGTCCGACCTGTTAACTAATATTGCATTCCCTCTTAGAAACTGCTGGATGAGGTGCTGGCCGAACGTGAAAATGTCGAGGATCTGAATGACAACTGTGAGCTGCTCATGGAGCAAAGCGCCTGCACGCGCATACGTGACCAGACCATTGAGACGCAGGCCAATTATACCAAATTGCTAACCGCGGCTCAGGGTCTGGTGGCCAAGGTCGAAAAGAATCTGTCCGATCACACCGAGTTCCTCAACTACAAGAACGAAATGGATGCCTGGATTGAGAAGGCCCAGCAGGTGCTCAACGACTGCAGCCTCGATGGTGATGCCGCGATCATTGCGCAAAAGTTGGAGACTGTCAATGTGAGTACTAAAAATCTTAAGCCTAATTCAAAGCTCCCAGAACTATGCACTTCACTTGCAGTCATTGGCCTCGCATTTGCCAGAGGGCCAACACTTGCTGGCCATGGTGCAGGATGCCTACTCGAAGGCCTCGAATATAACGCCCGGGGACAAGCAGGAGAAGCTGCGTGACCTGATGACCAAGGTGCGTGAGGACTGGGATGCTCTGGGCCTGGCTGTCAAGCAGAAGCTAAGTGACCTGAAGCAGGCCCAAAATCGCTGGAATGATTTTGCAGCCAATAAGGAGAGGCTCGACAAATGGCTAATCGAAACCGAGAAGACGCTGAAGATAGCGCCCGAAACGAAGGGCGAGCTGAGCGAGATGAAAACTCTGCTCGAGCGCTACAAGACGCTGGGCAATGAGCTCAAGCAGAAGGGCAACGATCTCGAGCAGCTGGTGTCGGAGGCACGTGATCTGGGCACCGAGTTGGATGCGGTCAATCGTTTGCAGTCGCGTTGCGATAAGCTGAAGAACGATTGCGCCGGCTACATTCGAGATCTGGAACAGGAGATGCTCGACTACAATGGATATCATCAGAGCCTGCAGGATGTAGAGAAATGGCTGCTGCAAATCTCCTTCCAGCTGATGGCGCACAATTCGCTCTTCATTTCGAATCGCGAACAAACGCAAGAGCAGATCAAACAGCACGAGGCGCTGCTGGGCGAGATACAAAAGTATCAGACCAATTTGGATGACCTGAACGCCAAGGGTCAGGCTCAAATCAAACGCTATGAGCCAACAACGCCAGCCATACGTCCGACTGTCGAGTCCCAGCTGAAGAACATACAGGACAGCTACAACTCGCTGCTGCAGACCTCGGTGCAAATCAAGAATCGTCTGCTCGAATCGCTGGCCAAGTTCCAGGAGTACGAGGATACGCTGGACAATATCATGCGCAATCTGGAGGCCTACGAGCCCATCATACAAACCGAACTGGACGAGCCAGCCACTAGCCTGGAACTGGCGCAGAACCAGCTCAAGTGCGCTCAGGATATGCAAAATAAACTGAACAATGAGAAATCCAGGCTGGCAGCTGCCGTTCAGGCCTGCGAGGCAGCCACAGCATCCATCAGCCGGCCCAGCTCTCCCTTGGAGACAGCTATGCATGCCATACCCGAACGTGAACTGATGGTGCGCGCCAAGCTCGAAGATCTGCTGGATCAGGTGGGTTCTAAGCGAAGCTTTATGCTTTTCTATAAAGTTTTTCCTATTCCATTTGTAGTTGTTGTTTATTTATTTAGTAAAAATATTAACTAAAGTAGAAAATGGCGATGTAGATGGAGCAAAGGTAGGGAATGGGTTGCATGCAGGCTTCATTTAGTAGCAAGTCTACAGAAGTTGATGCATATATTGATAGTTTGATTAACTAACCAAAGAAATCTAGTAAGACAAAAATTAATTTTAGCTTGATATAAAGAAAATATATTTAGTATTATTATTATAATTATTTTATTTATATTTTGCATTAAGCTAATATGCATTGAAGATTTATTTGATTGAAGAGCTCTAATGTCGCTCTGCTAGACTTGACAAAGCATATAAGTTTGTGCTTAAATTGCAATGAAATCATAGCAGAACAGTTACCTATATTTAATAGTATTTAAAATATTATAAGATTTATACTAAACGCTTTATAGGAATTTCTGCTTGCAGACGACTTTAGCTTGATTCCAATCTACATAAAGTTAGCAGCATTTTTTTAAATTTTTGAGAGTCTGCTAGTGTAGTCTGATAGATATAGATAGATGGCTATAGATAGATAGATAGATAGATAGAGGGATATAGTTAGATGGATAGATAGATAGATAGACATAGATAGATAGATAGATAGATAGATATATAGATAGATAGATAGATATATAGATAGATAAACAGATAGATAGATAGATAGATAGATAGATATAAAAATATAGAGATGTAGATAGATTTACATAAATAGACATAGATACAAGATTTTTAGATATAAATAGCTGTAGATAGATAGATAGAAATAGAAATGGATATATATAAATATAAATATAAATAGATAGATATACAAATAGAAAGATAGATAGATATAGATATAGATATAGATATAGATATAGATATAGATATAGATATAGATATAGATATAGATATAGATATAGATATAGATATAGATATAGATATAGATATAGATATAGATATAGATATAGATATAGATATAGATATAGATATAGATATAGATATAGATATAGATATAGATATAGATAGGTAGATAGAAATATATATAGATAGATATAAAAATAAATAGATATATATTAATAGATTTAGATTTATAGATAGATAGCTAGATAGATAGTTTTATCTGATATGTTATCCTCATATATATACGCCGTATAAGACTTTTCGGCGAGTGCTCACTCGGGCATATATGCCAAGGCGCAATAGCAAAAGATATAGTAATACCAAGTAAGCCACGCTCCTGTAGAGCTATACTAAGCAATCTTGATATTAAGAGCAACGACTATATATGAGTATAGCTAACAAATGTAGAGTCTCTAGCTTCAAATGTTAAGCAATCAGAAGAACGAACAGACGAATTGCAGTAAGCCAATATACTCTCTTTACTTTGTGAACGAGCATAAACAGCTAAAACAAAATTCTTGGGAAACGATCTAGAAACGCTTAGAAACCAGAGCAGAGCTTTGTATTTAAAGTCAATTGATTATTGAGGCTAGATCGTTGCCATCTACTCGCCCAATTCTACATTTTAGAAAGTGAACCTATTTAATTTTTCTACCCTAACCTTATGATCTTTTGTTAATTTTGTTTTATTGCAATTTACTTTTATACCTAACCCAACTACACCGACTTTTGTCAACTACAACCAACTGTAAAATCAACCACCCCCAACCAAACACCGCTCTAACTAATGTTGATTTGCCGCACCGTAACTCCTCTTGTTGTTGTATAATAAACCGCACTACCACGCCCACTTTGCTCGCCGCCTGCCTGTTTGCATTTGCATTCGCCTCGAAAATAACAAAAAACAAAAGCAGCCGCCGCCAAAGACTCGGAGCTCAACCGACGATGACAACGATCTCGACGTTGAGCTCAGCGATGTGAATGAGGCGCTGTCGGATCCCATTGCTTACGAGCGTATTCAAAACTATTGTCGCATAGTACGGCTGAATAGCGCACACGTGAGCAAGCTGAATGCACTCGTCGCTAAGGTAAGCGGCATTCAAATCTTCAATGGTGGCGGCTTTGCTCTCTAAACTAAATAACGCAGTCCAAACAAACAGCACAAGCTAGAGCCTTTGTTGAATTATATGTGTCCTCTTCTTATGCCCAGGTGCAATCCCACTTGGGTGGTCTGACTGCATCCGTTAGCGAACTGGAGCAACAGCAGAAGCAGCGCGCCGAGCTGCAGGACTGGGTCAAGAGGCAGCAGAGCTCTGTCTCCGATTGGCTAATGCGTCCATGCAAGCTGCGTCCAGATGCCGCGCAACAGGAGCTGGTCTCGATGAACGATCTATTGAACTCCATTGGAGACAAGCGCTCACAGCTGATGCTCGAGATGACAGGATCATGTGAGTAGCTCATGCGATGCAGCTCTGTGCAGAGCATCACACAAATTCACACAAATTTCTTTCTCTCATTTAACCCAACAGTAGGCGATGAGGACACGGATCTGGATGATAACATTGACAAGCTCGAATCGGAGCTGATGGATGCCATTGCCAAGAAGCAGGCGGGCCAGAGTATCATCGACGGCTATCGCCAGGGCATGCAGGATGTGCAGAACTGGTTCGATACGTTGATTAAGCGCATGGATGTGCTGGATCGCGGTTCCGGTCTCAATTGTGCCCAGAAAATGGCCGCCATCAATGAGATTAAGAACGAATACGAGCTGCAGGGTCATCCGAAGATACAAGAGCTGAAGGGCAAGGCCGCGCAGGTGGCTGAGGTCATTAGCAATCTGGATGGGCAGCAGGTGGAGGAGCAAATGAAATCGTTGGATCGTCGTTTCGCCGATCTGGGCAAGCGCATCGATCGCAAGGCACAGCTGCTCGATGTCACCAATAAGGGCGTGGATGGGGCCAAGGGCGAAATCGATCAACTGCAGCAATGGGTGAAGCAGCAAATCGACGAGCTGCAGGCGCCAGCTGCTCTGGGCTTTTCGCCCAAGGATGCGGAGGCGCGCCAGCAGAAGATCAAGAGCCTGATGAAGGATGCCGAGGCAAAGCAATCGCTGGCGGATGTCCTCGAAAAGCGCATAGCCAACATGCAGCCCGAATTGGAGTCTGCTGAGTATGCCCAACTGGAGTCGGCCTTGCGTAATCTGAATAGCGAAAATCGCAATTTGGCTGGCGTTCTGAAGGCCGAGCTGGATCGTGCGCTGGAGGCGAGCAAGGCGCGTAAGGCACTGGAGAATGATCTGGACAAGGCGCGTCAATGGCTGAAGGCCAAAATCTCTGAGGTGCGCAAGCTGCCCGTCTATCATCCACTGACCTCCGCTGAGATTGAGAAGAAGATACAGGAGAACAGGAAATACGATGATGACGCCAAGCAATTCAATGACAGCGTCCTCAGTGATGTCCAGCGTCAAGCTGCCAACATCATGAAGGACTGCGGCGAGCCAGACAAGGCCGCGCTGCAGCACATTCTGGATGAAATTGCCGCCGACTATCAGACGCTCAAGGATGAGAGCGGCAAGCGCGGCAAGTCCTTGGACGATCTACTGCAGGGACGCAAAGCCTTCGAGGATTCAATGAAAAAGATGGGCGACTGGCTAAACGAAATGGAAACAGCCACCGAAAGTGAACTGCGCACCACGAGCCTACCCGTGCTCGAGGAGCAGCTGGCCCACTACAAGAAGCTACTGCAGAATGCCGACAACATGGGCGGCGTCATCAACGATGTGTCCGAGCAGGGCAAGAGCATATTGCCGACGCTCAGCAATGCGGACAAGCTAAAGCTGAACGACGACATCAAGAACATGAAGGATCGTTATGGTCGTATCAAGCAGACAATTGACGATCGTGTCAATACGTTGGGCGATCACATCAAGAAGTACAAGGATGCCAAGAACCGGTTGGCCGATTGCAGTCAGTTCCTGGCTACCATACAGCAGCGCATGCGAGAGCTCAATCGACCGATTGGCTCCAGGATTGAGGATGTGCAGGATCTGCTGGGCGCCTACGAGGGCATACTGAAGGAGCTCAAGGATAGCAAGCACAAAATGGGCGACATGCAAATGGACGACTTGCCCGAGCTGCAGAGCATCCTGGCGCAGCAGGACGATATGATTAAACTGATTGAGGATCAGTTGGCGCATCTGCGTCAGCTGTTGATGCTGCGCGAGCAGTTCATAGCTCTAATCAACGAGATCATTGCCTTCATTATGAAGTACACCGATGTCATCATCGACATCGAGAACTCACCGGACAGCCTCGAGGACAAGATCAACAAATACGACAATGTCATCGTCAAGATACAGGAGTGCGAGGGACTGCTGGCCTCGGCCAACGACAAGGGTCAGAAGATCGCCTCCGAGGGCAATGCGGCCGATAAGAACAGCATCACAGAGCAGCTGCAATCCCTGAAGAATCAATTGCAGAATCTGCGCAAGGCTGTCGAATCGCAGCGCCAGAAGCATCAGCTGCAGCTCGAGTCCCACAAAAAGATGGCCGCCGAGCTGAGCGAGATACTCGACTGGCTGCACAATAATGAAGGCGTTGCCAAGTCGCGACCCCTGCTCGACCGTGATCCCGAGTCGGTGGAACGTGAACTGCAGAAGCATCAAGCACTCAGCAAGGACATTGAATCGCAATTGCAGAAGTTCAATAAAATCAATGACAGCGTCAAGACGGACGTGGGCATGCCCAGCTCTCTGCTAGAGATGCTCTCCGAGGGTCGTTCACTGGTCGCCTCGCTGCCGCATGAGCTCGAGGAGCGCGAGAAGTATTTGAAGAACAATCGCGACTCGCGTCTGGAGTACATGCAGCTGGTGGCCAAGTTCAATGATTGGGTGCACGAGGCCGAGCTGCGTTTGCAGAACAGCCAGCATGGCATCGACTACGAGCATCTCGTGCACGATCTCGAGGAGCACAAGATCTTCTTTGGCAACGAGGCGCCCATACGCAATCTGGTGCACAAGCAAATCCAGGAGGCATCCGACAAGATTTGGTCCTCGCTCAACAGCTACGAGCAATCCGAGCTGTCGGCCGAGCTGACACAGTTCCAGACCAAGCTGGCCAATACCTTGGCCAATGCCAAGACCCAGCAAAGCGAACTGGAAAGAGAGGCGGAACGCTGGCGTGAATACCAACAATCCATCGATCGCGTCAAGGCCACCATTGAGCGTACCAAATTTAGCGATGAGCCCGTCCAGAATTTGGCCGGATTGCACTTTAATATTCAGAAGCTGTCGCATGCCATTGGAAATGTACAGGTGAGCTAATCAAACAGACGTAAATTTGACTACCTTTAAAGCGTTGCATAAATATTTGTAGAGCTGATTAGAGCTGATTTGCAATAGAAATTGAAACAGTCAATAGATTGGTAGTATTTGTTATCTATCCAGCTTGAAAGGCCAACAAATTTAAGAAAAAATAATTTTTTAAAGAAGAAAAACCATAACATTCCTAGCCATCTACCTTAGGCTTACAGTCAGGTAAACCCTAACTTTTTTAATATTTTAAAATAATAGCACCACAGTGACATAGTATTGAGCAAAACTTTCGATTGATTAAGAATTTCCTTTGCATAAGAAAAATTAAATTATAACTAAAATTATAAATTTATTTCCTTTCCTTTTATGATTTTCTCTTTCTTTATATAATTTCCTTTTTCTTATGCAAAGAAATTCTTAATCAATCGAAAGTTTTGCTCAATACTATGTCACTGTGGTGCTATTATTTTTATTGCTTAGCATCCATAGGTAGTGAATCAGAAAGCCTTGGCAAACAATCGGATTATGTTAAGTGTCTTAAAAACCTTTTATTGTATTTATACACACACATATAAATATATATACGTATTTATGTACGTATGTACATGGCAAGCGAAGACCTGTTTTAAGTGTGACACAACGAAACATCTTTCATAAAACTGCAAAACAAGAATTTGTATCTGCAACGCATGTAAGAGAATGTATCTGCAGATGACTTTCGCGCTGAGTGCTAGCTTCGCGGCCGCATACGATTTGCCGGCCGGCAAAACCAATAAACTTCAGCTGCACTCACTGTTCGCTCTCTTTGAGCTAAAGCTCTCTTGTGTGGTTCAACTCTCTTATATGAGGTCACATTTAAAATAGTTGTTTACTTTCATTATGTCTCCGTCTTTCACCTTGAGAACTTATTAATGAGTTAATCTTTTAACCTGCACTTGTTCAGCTTATCAACGACTGTCAAACATCTAGCCCGATGCTCAGACACAAAATGTTTCAACATAAATACATACATATATGCATATGTATAGGTATGCTTAAGGCCAGCTGTTTGAGTGTAGCTCATGACATCATCAGCGAATACAGAGAAGGAATAAACTAGTTTTTCGTGAGGGCTCCGCAAATGGCATAATAAATTTGAGTTAAAAAAAATTCCAAATTTTAATTGATACAGTCTAGTAGTCTCGTAGGCTTACTTAAGAAATAAACAAAAAAAAATATATTTTTTAAGCATTTAAAGCTCAACATTTTTAATTTCATATTGTTCTACGCTCTCTGCCCAGCCCTTTTGGCAACCACGTTGTTTGGCATCAACAAACACATGTTTAGCAGCAGCAGCTTTTTTTTGTTTTTGTGCCAAACACTGAGCGAGCTTTAAGAGCGCACTTCAACTCTCAGCGCTCTCAGTGGACAGCCGTTTTGTTGTTGTTGGCATGCCGGCTTATAGCAAAGCCAATGGCGATGGTATATGGTATATGATAGCGTATGTGTATTGGTGAGCAAGTGTGACGCAGTCAAGAGTAAATTATTGCTCGAAACTGCCCACGCCTCTCTCTTGCACTGTCCGCTGTCCGCTGTCAGCTCAACGGCATGTGCACATGTAAACGTGTTCATTCGACGTTTTATATTTGCGACTAAGCACAGTCGCAATTCGCTCTCTTTCCCTCAGCCAGAGCGATGCTCTTGAGACAAGTTGCACGCGCGTTCTCTTAAGTTGGTTCTAACTCGTGCTTGGGCAAATGCCGTATAATTTTTATATGAAATTCACTTCTAGTTGAGACGTTTAACTGTGCGGTTGTCTACATTTTTTATGCGGCTTATAAAGTGAAGAAATAGCGACAAAGCAAGAGCAATAAAAATCAAAAGCAAAATACAAAAACAAAAAAAAAATAGTGTTATTTTTGTGCGCAGCTTTGTTATATTCGAACGTTCTAATAAAATATGCCATGTGCTTGAAAAGCGCAAATTGAAAGAGAGAGACAGAAAGAGAGAAGAAACAGGCGAATTTAAAGCTAACGTCATCAACAAACAGAAATACATTAAATACACACATATATATTTATGTATATATACATATATATAGAAAGATACTTTCAAAGTGCTGCTGCAGATACAAACGCGTGTGTCTAGGTGAGAAATTAAGAGCGTACTTAACTTTCCATATTGTGAAAGAATGAAGTAAGAAGAAGATTGTGCCACATGCACTCACACACACACATTTATATATAAATATATATATATATATATGTCAAAGTTGAGGCGACGAAATGCCAAAGAAGCAAATGAAATCGAAGTGAAACCGCAGTCGGCGATACAGTTACAACTCAAAATATTTGAATGAAAAAAAAAAACAATAGGCAATCTACACGCACCTACATACACACACACAGTACTTAGGTAGCTTTATACTTGCATATATAGATATTTAAATATACACATTTATGTGTATATAGTTGTATATATATATATTTTACTTATATACTCGAAATAATTTCTATTAATAAATCGCTTTACATTGTGCAAATCCAATCAATCGAGCAGTGCCGCTAATCAAAATTGTGATAAAAAAAATATCGAAACGTATATCTATTGTTGAAGTAAACTGTTCTCTGAATGGCAGTTTACTATAGCTGTTATTAATTATATCTCTATATTACTGTTTTATGGTTGTTATGATTGTTATTGCTTGTTGTCATTGTTGTCGTCGACATCGTTACAGAGCCAAAACAGCGACCTCTCGCTAGTGAATCAGCAAGCGCAATCTCTTATACGGCAAGCGGACGCCCGCAATCGCCAGTTGATTGAGCAGCAGAACTCAGGGCTAAATCGTGATTGGCAGGACCTGGTGCATAGCCTGGAGCAGAGAAAGGATAAGCTGCAACAGTTGGCCGAGCATTGGGATAGCTTTGAGAACGGTCTGCACGGCTGGGAGAAGGCATTAGGTCGCTTGGAGGATAAGTTCCGCAATGTCGACCCAACTGTAAGGTCGCGACGTCATTTGGAAGATACAAAGAATGCCATTCAGGTGAGATTAACCTTTACAGAAGCTTAAATGAACACACACACGCACACATACATACATACATATGTATAAACTGTTGTTAATATATGAGCTCACAAACTTAATTGATTTATTATTGCTACTACGTGCGCATGCATACATATACATATATATGTATGTATGTATGTATGCTGCGTGTGTGTGTATATTCATTCATTCATTTAGTTGGGCCCCTCCCCTAACGGCTGTAGGCATGCCGCAAATGTTTTGCTAATGTCAGACTTTATATACACACGCACACTATGTTCCCCCATATACATGTTTACATACATATACTTTTGGCAAGTTCATGGTCACATGCAGCCTATGTACAGAGAGCTTGCGCGCTCTCTTACTAAAAGCACGGCTTTGGCTCTCACTGTCCCTCTCCTTACCCTCTCTTCGACAGCTGTCCGAACTGTTAATGATTGACTATGTAAAAGCTAAAAACAAAAGTTTAATTTGTAACTTTCAGTTTCTTTTGGCTTATTTTTGTGTTTTTTGCTTTTTTCTAGTCACAGCTTCTAGCTAAATATTTTTTCTATTGTCCCATTATACAACTGCTACTATAGCATTTAGCAGCATTTTTGTTTTGTTTTTGTTTTTGTTATCAACAATCTGAGTTTTTTTATTTGATTTTCTTTGCATGACTTCATGGCTACAGATTACTATTTTTGCTTTTATATTTTGTTTGTGTTAAGAGCGAAAAAATCAGTAAAAATGTAAAACTTATCATTTTAATGCTAAAAATAGCTAAGGTTTATTTAAAGCTAAAGATTTGAGGCAACAAGTTTAAATATGGCATATAAATTGATTAATGAACAAGAAGAGTTAAATTAACAATAAATTTAACATAATAAATAAAAAATAAAATGTTTGCAATAAATATATTATTTCATTGCCTTTTTTACAATCTAAATCGAAGAATCAAAACAAAATTATATAAATTTTTTAGTCTAATTTTTTTTTTAGGATTGTAATAGGAAAATTTAAAGTAAAAGTAAAGAAATCTAATTTAATTTAAATTGAAATTTAATGTTTTAACTTTTATTTAATTAAATTCTCATAGATTATAATCACGTTGCGTGTTATAAATATTAAAATTCTTCAGCAAAACAAGTCAATTAGCAACTTTTTAGCTTACGAAAATACTGAGAATTCCAACTACATTTCAATTAATTCTATAGTATTATCAAGTCGTAAAACCTTCACACTGCCATCCAATACAATTCATTAATGCTGTTCTCATATATATCTCCTTATTTACTGTGTATAGCAAATGCAAAAAAAAATTAGTTGCGTTACCCAGTTAAACAAATCCATAAAAAAAATTAACTTTTTGTTTTCTTTTTATGGATTTTTTTACTTGTTTTATTTCAATTTTTTTCCGTTTTTCGAGCTTGCCGCAAATATTTTATGTTTTTTTTTTGTCTTTTATTTTTTATGGTGTTAACCTTCGTTTTTTAAGCTTATAAACTGGAATTGAATTAAAACGTAGCGTACATTTGTTTTGTTTGTGTTTGATCGAACGAAGCAGAAAAGAATGAAGAAAAAACGAAACAAAAATACAAATTTGTAGTTTTCTGCCTGTGTTTGTTCTACTAATTAGAATTTATTATTATTTTTTTCTGGCTGTTTAGGAACTGCGTGAAGAATCAAATGAACTTAAATCATCACATAAAGAAATCGAAACGCTCTCAAAATCCATCCTCACATTCCTTGGGGAAGTACACAAACCCTCGGCGGAGGCCATACAGGCCAAAGTGGATAAGTTAGTTGAACAGCAAGCAAAGTGAGTACAGGAAACTTTACTAAATATATAGACATATATATATAATAGATTATTATTATAGTTGGCTTATGTCTATATACAGTTGCAAGCTATCTGTCTAAGAAATAAGTGGCAAAGGGGTGGAAATTATTGTGAAAAAATGTTGAGTTTCATTCAACTATCTTGAAGTCTTTACTGAATAGCTTATATGGCAGGTAGTTGAGTTTTAGTGATAATAAAGTGATTATAATGTCTTAGATTAAAGATTCAAATTTAACTTCATAATAAAAAATAGTTGACATTAGGTAACTTTACCTTTATAGTTAAATATAAACAACAGCTTCGTTGAAGTTCGACGTACCAATGATCGATAAATCTGTCAACAAGTGTCAAACAAACCTAAAATAATCTAATGTAGTGAATCTGATTTGAGTCTGATTCGAAAGTTGAATTTCATGAAAGAAAAATATGTACTTAATGCTATGACTTTAGTTAAAGTTCAATCGATAAATCAATGATCGATAAATACGTGAAAAACTGTTTACTTTAAATATAAGAATTCAATTTGAACTATGACTATAAACAAATATATATGGTATATACAATGTATCTATATTATATATTGGCAATAAGTGCCATACTTTTCCTTATTTATTATTTAATTTTATTTATTTGTAAACTTATAGCAACAATAGAACTAATAGGCCGTGACGTTTATTCAATTCCAATCGAAATTTCAACGCCGGAAACCGAATTGAAAATCGTGTTCGAAATCGAAATCGAATTCGATTTCGCTGCATAAAAACATTTCGTTCTATAATTGATTTGCGTTTAATGTTAATTTATTGTGACTAAATTAACTAGTTGTTTTCATACCTATTTCACAGCATTTAAACTGGTTCCACAGACTCGCGCGCATAGAGATAGGTAGTTGGCTATATTGAGGAACAGCAATATGATTCGTGGACAACTTTTGGTTTATATGGCAGTCTGTGACATCAGTTTTCAGTTGTTTTCAGTTTGTTTTTTTTGTTTTCGGCTCGCTGAGCCGCAAAGCCCTCGAAATTTCATGCACAACAATCGCTCGCTCTCGCTCTCTCTACCTCCGCCTCCCCCTCACGCTCTTTCTCTCTCTGAATACCTCCGGCTCTCTCTGACGTCAGGGCAGTGGTTACGCTCGGTTTGTAGCTCGAGACATGGCACTTACATAAGCCAAGTTTTCTGTGGTAGCATTAAAGTCAAGTTCTTGAGAATTGTGGATCATTACATTTTGAAAAAGAAAAGAAATTAAAAGAAAAGACACTCGCATTGCACATTAGACAGTGCCTGGTCAAAAGTCTGTTTACCCACCCCTTAATGGGCCATACCAACAGACGGGGCATGCCCACTGATAGCTGATAACGGTTAACTGTGCCAAAGTGTTGACGCCTTATCTTAGACTTTTACGATAATAGACAAAGCGTTGACGCCATAAATTTTATAATCATAATTATAAAAGATTCGCTCAGGTAGTTCACAATATGCGCTACAGTTTGTGACTCAGAGATTTCTCGAAATCATATAAAACTTCTATTCGGAAGGGTCTCTGTTGGCACTGTTAACTGAAGCATAGCAAATGCTCTACATTCCATATAGTATACGCCTTGTTGATAAGATTTTTAACAAAAAAACTTGTTCGTTTTTATTTCTATTTTTGCGGAAATTCTTTTGAATGGCGCTTGACACAAAGCAAAATAAAAAACAATATAAAAAACGCTGCCAATTTGTCAATTGGCTTTGCTACACACACACGAATATTGGCAACACGCTGCTAACAGCGCAACATTTGGCACTTTAACAGCAGAGAAATTCACCACGATTCGACTTAACAGTGCTATGTGTGCGTGTGGTCGTTGATCACGTAAACATTTTGCTTGGCAAGCAAAGCAAAGAACAAAAAAATTTAAAGAAAATAATGATAAAAATAAGAAAATCGAAAAAGACAAAAAAGAAAAAAGAAAAACATGCCGCGGCCTTTCTTAATGCAGCACTGACACAAATTTTCACCCAACACATGTGTGTTTATCTATAAGAAGTATATATTTTCCGTGTATATTTTCTGTTTTTTTGTTTTTTATTTTATTTTTATACACATTTTTCTTTCATCCGGCTGCCGTTGGCTTTCATGAAAAACGAGAGCAGCAGCTGTTAATTTCCTTTCTTCATTTCCCCATGTGCTTAACCAAATCTCTTACCGAATAACAATAATAGTTTTTTTGTGACGTATGCCATATGGAATTAGATCGCAGATAGATAATATTTACTGTGGCCAGCACAATGTTTTCGATGAATATCTTGTTTGTTTTCAAACGTTTTTGGTCACTTTAATAATTGGGAAAACTATTGAAAGCCTCATGACAACACTTGTCCATTAAGTTACATTTGCTTGACAGCTGCAGGGCGCTGCAATTAACATTTGCATTAACATTAAGCCTAATGTGTCTGTTAGCCAACAGCTGTTAGTCATTCACTTAGGCAATTGTAACACTAGCATTAACTTTAATAGCTGTTAGTCAACAGCTGTTATGCAATTATTCTAATGCACTTTAATGTGATTAGATCTATAAGATATATATAAAAATAACTTTTAAAATTTCTAAAGATATTTTTGTATGTATTTTGTAAATGAGTTATAGAAATTCACGTTTTATTTACAGTTAGTCACATTTCTGTTCAGCTTTTGACCTGAACTAAAATATTTACTCAACTCAGCACTTTTAGATAATTACATCTAAAATTAGCCATAAAGTAAACATTGAAACAGCTCTCACGTATCATATTTTGAACGAACTTCAGTTATGACGAGGCAAATATTGAAGGCATTTGTAAACGTTGAACTTTTTCTTATATTTTTACATTGTATACCTCTTCCTCGCTGTTTCTCTATACACTATCTAGAAACTCTAGTTTCTATACTCTCTATACTCTTTGTCTCCCGCTTTACTTCTCTGTTGTTCTCTACTCCTTCTCTTGTCTCTCTGTAAAGCATCTACACTTTATCTCTATTTGTTCTATTCTCTATATCTAGTTTCTCTGTTAAGCTTCTATATCAGCTCTCACTCTGTTTCTTTGAAGTCTCTCTAGCAATACTTCTTTTGTTGCCCAATTTGCATTTTCCTATTTAAATAATTTCTCACTTCGTCATATATTTTGTGCCTCAAATAAATTGACAATGCCATCATCATCAGCATCATCATTCGAAGCCCAACAAAAAATGATCTAATGCCCGAAAGTTTGCTCATCGACAATTATATATATAAATATATATCTATACTATATCTATATTATATCTATGTTCCTTAACTGCGACGCAAATTGCGTTGCATTTGTACTTGAGATTTACTTTTCGGCTGGCGAACATGCAAAAATCTAATCAACGCGAAAAAAACAGAAAAATTAAAAATACTTAAAAAGTTGCGTAATTCTTGAGCACTTAAAAGATATTCTTGTGTATTTCCAGGCAAGATTATTATCTATTTGTTTATAATTATTTGTGGATTTTTAAATCATTTTTGAGCTCTATCGATTGGTCAAAAAGAAAAAGCAAAACAAAGTTGATATAAAAATATATAACATAATATCAGTATAAGACCTGAATAATATTATAATATAATAATATAATATAACTATTTAATAAAGTCATTTACCAGAAATCGAGGCAAATTAAAAAAAAATTAAGTAAATTTTAGTCTTAAATTTTATCCACATGTATCCATAAATATAAATCGTGTTTATTTTGACTCTGCATACATTTTCCCTATGCGTACGATTTTATTTATCACTCACTGTTTTAATATCACTCAGATAAAACATTGTTTTTTTAATTAAAATTATTGACAACCTAATTTGTTGTTGCATAAAAGACTTTGCTCTAGAGTATACAAAAAAAAGCTGCAAAAATAATATATAAAAAAATAAATAAATAAAAACAAGCCTCAGGGCAAAAATAAAGTAATAAATGTAAACAAGACGGAAATCGCAGAATTGCTGACTTCATCGTTGAAAATACAAATTATTTAAAAAAATAAATACAAATGTAAATTATAAAAAAAATATGCAAAAATAGATTATTTTGCGCTGCATTAAAAAATAATAAATGAAATCAAAATACAACTGACAATTTAAAAAAAAAACAAGGCATATTTGCATTGTCAATTTGTCATTTCACACAAAACAAAGCGGGAGATAGAGAGAGAGACACACACAATCAAACTACAACAATAACGCGAAAACGTTGCCCAAATGAGGTAATCGCGTAATTATAAATTTATTTTTATTTTATTTTATGTCGTTTTTTTCTGTTTTAACAGTGCGCTGTTAACTCACGCGCTGCTGTGCCGTGCTGTTCCAATGCCATTCTGTTCCGTTGCCATTTGTTGTCTCTCAGCTCTTTGAGGTGCCGGCATTTTTTGCTGCCCTCTTATCGAAACCGGCAAAAATGATTTGTTATTGCCTTATCATTTCGACTGCTAAACATGCAATATATACATACATAACAAGTATATATGTATGTATATATATATATGTTTATTATATTTAAATTGCATTTATGTTTATTTTTTTTGCGGGATTTTTGCATTAAGGCTACGTGCGGCATATTTGGCAGCTGAAATCAGCGGCGAATTTTTTGGCTTGCTAATGAGTGAGGCAAACTTTTGCCGTTCGCCGCAATTTCAATGCCAAGCGCATATTCAATATACAAATTGTTAAGTGTTGCTGGTGCTGTTCTCTTTCCCCACTCCCTCTCTCTCTCTCTTCAATGCGTGCGCCTGCTTGTTTGTGTGTGTGTGAGAGACCGTGGTGAGTTATCGGTAGCAACAGTTTTTGTTCTTTTATTTCCGTCTCGCATTCCCGCTGTTAACGCCGATCGTTCGCACGAACGTCGACTGAGACGTCGCGACGCTGAAACATTTTGGCAATTTTTGTGCGCTGAGAATTATTTTAGTTTTTATTTAGAGTTAGTTGCAAGCGGACGTGTTTTCTCTATAACTGGATGGCTGGAAACTAAATACGAAGAAGCGACCGCACGAGCATAATAAAAAAAATATATATATATCAAAATATATATATAGACGCATATTTTTAAAACAAATAAAATACAATTTAATTAGGAAGCAGTAGAAATAGAAGCAGCAAACACACACACACACGAAGAAGCAACAGCCCAAAGAGAAACCAGTAAAGTATTTAATTCGCATAACTGTGCAGCGGTCTCGAAAGCACCGTTAAGGCGCGCAGTTAAACAATTTGAAATACTATACGTAATATCTTTTTCGTTTCATGCACTGCACTTGCTCAAACGCCGCTTTGTGGATTACCAGGCGTATACGCAATTTGAAGAGCGTCAAGTTTTTAGCTGCTGAATTTCGCAAGAAATTCAAGTTTCAAGCAAAAGAAACAAACGAATTAAACAGTTGAAGAATAAGAAAAAGCAGTTAACAATTGTTCAGCACACGTCTGCCTCCCCAGTCAGGAGGTGCGATTGTTGTCGCTAAACAACTGGCAAACGAAGAAAATAATAAAGTCAAATAAAAGACAGCAGCTAGAGCTAGAGCAAGAGAAAGAGGCGAATGCTAATTGCTAACACGCACTCTCCAAAACGACGTCGTCAAAAGCAAAAGGTGAATGTTTATTAAACACAAGTTAGCTTAACTTAACTTCATTTCGCACTGCCTGCCGCGTCGTGTGGCATGATTAAGTCATCGAGGCCGGCTAAAAAGTCCGAGTCGTTCGGTTTATGCAAAAAACAGCCTCAATTTCTAGCCGGCTGTTGGGTTCGGGCCTCGGGTCCGGTCTTTTAGCGAGGTCGTCAGGTGTTGTTGTCTGTTGTTGTTCGCCGCTCGTTGTTCATTGTTGTTGTCTTTATTGAAAAGAGTTTTGCTTAGCGACGCGTGTCTCTGATTTGAATCGATGACGTCGCCGTCGTCGTCGTCGTATCAAAAATAGCCAACCTCAACCAAAAGGCGCTCAAAATGCTTATCGACAGACATTTAATTACAATAATTGATCAAACTAATGTTCAACGTTTTATTTTCGTCTGCTGCAAACAAACATATATGTATTTTTAAAAGCACACGCGTCTCCCTGTGGCTTTCGCTTTTCACTTAGTTTCGCTCGCATTTCTCACATTCTTGGCCATTTCAATTCAAAATATCCACTAAATTTAATACGTTAATTTGTATAGTAGTAAAATGGCAAATCGCTGCTCGAAATAGCTGCAGAAAAAAAAACCTGAAAAGAAAACAAAAATTAATCTGCAAGAATTTTTATTGTGTTATTTAAGGCTGAAATTATTTGCATGCTTCATATACCCTGTTGCCAGTGGCAAACTATGCTAAAGTCTTAAATAATATTTATGTTTGTTTATGTCAAAGGATTTAAGTTTTCTGGACTAATAGAAAATTGAAATGTGCAAAAATTTATTGAGCGAAAATTAGTTTTTCATAGGTTGTGGGCTTTATAGGCAGCTGTTGTTGCTTACAATTTGTTACTGTTGGAAATTAGTTTTTATGTTAAATGAGAATTTTAAATTAATATTTATGAGATGATGATGATGAGAGCACTTTAGTAGAATTTTAGGCATATTCAACGGGTAATAGAAAAAGTTGTTTAAAAAAATGAGAATTTCTAGATTACCTCAGATTAGATTTTGTCAAAAAATCTCAAGGGTTTTTTTTTATTTATTTTCATTCTTTTTGTGCGATTTTCCATTACAAAGAAAAAGCTTTGATGGCTTTTTCCTTAAATTATATTTTTTTATATTATCTAAACAATTTTCTGCTCTGAAATCGACAGTTTCGAGAGCTTTTCGAAATAGTTTACTTTTTATCTAGTTGAGCTATTAATGTCTTATTTATGATTTCATTTGTTTCATTTTAAAACATTTTTGCCCTTGCTTTGCTACACTTACTTAGCTCAGTTTCTTTCTACTGGGTATTTACTAGTCGTGCTCATCATAAAACTTTCGTTTTTTTTGTGCTTTTACAATTGATGCGCTAAAAACTGTTTTCGAAAATGTGGGTTCAGCCTCAGTTGGCTGCAAGCCAAATGTATTGACTTGGCCTCCTCAAGGCGCATTGCTCTTCCGTTTCAATAGTTGTTGTTGTTGTTGCTGTAAAGGGCAGCAGGCGACGGCGTCCTTCAACGCATAGCCATAAAAATGTTCGTGCACTCACGACTCTTTGCTAATGCTAATTGCTGCCTTCAAGTGCTGGCTGCTTGTCTGAGGCAGAGGCGAAACACTTGTTGGCTTCATTTAGCGCCCACGCGGCGTATGAGTAATGGGAGCATTAAGATCTGGAATAAAAGCAAATTAAACAACAACTGTAAAGTAAAGTAAAAGGCAAATAGAGATTGCTCTGAGTCATTTGAAATGCACGCATTGCCAGATGACGTCAGCTGCAGTTTGGTTGGCGTTGACCAAGTTTTGCTCGGCCTGCGAATAGATCGACATAATAAATATGTTTAAAAATATAAATGTCTGCATAAAAATAAGCGCAGCCGTTAAGCAGGCCGCGCCGCAACGTGTACAGCATAAATAACAATAATAATAATAATAGCAAATTTAAAAGGCACACGAAATGTTTAAACAAAATAAAAACTTTTCGAAAATGTGAGCGGCAGCGCGTAGACACGCTTCGCTCTCTTGAAAGAAAAGCAGTTCAAGGCATTTGCCGAATATACAAGAAAAATATAATTCGAATCCGAATTCGAATTCGAATTCGATTTTGAAATCGTGCCGTGGCTAGTCAAAATGTTCGACATCGCCATTCATTTAGAAAACTCTCTTGTAGTCAAACGGCAGCATTCATTTTCACGGAAATCTTCGCAAACGCCTCGAGGCCAACAGCTCCCAGAGCCCAGTGGATACACATAAAGAGCGAGATCTATACAATTCTGAACAACTTCAGCCATTTCGCTGAAAGAACTTTTCTATAATATATATCAAATATATATAGCTATAGAAGATATATATTAAATATATATAATTTTCTCTATATTGTGTGCAGCACGCGTTCTATTCTAGAGGAAAAGACGAACCGCGTGGTTTTTCACACACACAGACAGGCAGACAGATACTTGCAAACTGTTTACATACTATATCTATATTATAGGCAGCTATATTTTAGATACGTCATTGACTAATACGCCCCGGGCAAACGTTTCTTCTCGGTTCTGCTCTCTTTTGGTTTCATTGCAGATTGAACGATACGCTACGCGATAAGGACCAACAGGTTAGCAGGGATCTCGAGGAGATCGAGCAAGTGTTCCGCCGCATCTCACAGCTGCAGGACAAATTGAACGCACTACACGAACAGCTTCAGTCCGTGCACGTCTACGACGAGCATATCGTCCAAACGGAACAGGCCCTCATCAAACTCAATAGCCAGGTGCAACAGGCCGGCGAGGAGAGTCGCGCGCTTGTCGCGCAAACCCAAGCGCTCTATCAAAACAAACAGAATCAATTGCCCAGTGATATTGCCCAGGAGTTTACCGCACTTGAACTGCTAGCGGAACGCGTGCAGGTAACTATGGAGACCAAAGAGAAGGATTTCAAGCGCGCCAAGACCGTACGCACGGACTATTTGGCCGGCGTCGATGAGATTCAGCGCTGGCTGCTGCAGGCCGAGGTGCAGGTGCAGGAGCGCACACTGGAGCCGACACAGATGAAGGAGCTGCTGCAGCGCATCAATCACGAAATCGGTGCCATCTATGAACGCTTCACCCTGGTCAAGACCAATGGCCAGCTGATCATTGAGAATTGTCGCAACAGCGAGGAGAAGACGCTGGTGCAATCGACCATTGATCAGTTGGCGGCACAGCTGGCGCAGGTGCGCGGCTGGCTGGATGAGAAGAAGCAGGCCGTCGGCGACAGTCTGGATGCCTGGACGCGTTTCATGAATCTGTACCAGATTGTCATGTCCTGGGTGGCTGATAAGCGTACCTTCATTGATCAAACGATCGAGCTGCGCACACTGCCCGAGGCGCGATCCAAGCTGAATGACTATGTGACGGCTGTGAAGAGTATTAAACCGATTGTGAAGCATTTGAGCGAAATGGACAAGGAACTGGAGCACATTGGTCAAGTGACAACCGTGGGCGATCTCAAGGACAAACTGCAGCAGGCCGAGGATGCGAAGATAGCCGTGGAAGCAGTGCTGCTGGAGAGGGTAAAGCGGATAGGAGTACAACCTAACCTAGAATATTTTTCAATTTTCGTTTCTTTTGTCTCCCCTTTCTGTCATCCGCAACAGAACTCGCTGCTGCAGGAGGCCTGCGAAGAGTGGGATCAATGTGAGCGCAAGATCAAGGACATACGTGCCTGGCACGAGAAGACCAAACAGACCTTGGACTCATCGCCACAGCAAAAGAAGCCGCTGCGCGATCAGCTGGGCTACTGTGAAAAGACTCTGGCCGACATAAATGTGCAAAAAACTAAACTGAGATTGTCTATTGAAAAACTGGAGGTAAGTGGGGGTAGCTGGCATAGCTAATCCGGTATGCATTTCCATGCTCCACCCTTCTGCCTTTTAGGTACACTTCCGCAATGGCATGGGCGGTGATCCACGCCTTAGCGAAAATGTTGACGATTTGGTGCGCGTGCTCGACGGTCTCGGTGAACTGGTGAAGACCAAGTCACAGAGTCTCGAGCAGACGCTGGCCCAAATCGATGTCTATCAACAGCAAATGCAAACGCTCCGGCAGCGTATTATACAGGAGGAGCAGCAGCTGCGTCTGGTCATGGCGCCCACGTACTTGCCGCACGATCGTGAGCGCGCATTAGCCGAGCAACAGGTACGTACTGTCCAAGCGCATCTCGAACTGTTTTCTTATGTGTAGAGCCCAATCAGAGCAGTTAGCAAATCAGCTAGCCAAAGCCAGGAACTTAACTCTCAGTCTAGGAACAACTCGATATATCTATCTATCCATATATAGCTCTCTAGTAGCGCTCGTAAATAACAGCAACTGTTAAGCTAAGCTGTGTACGAATATGTCCCGATTTTATCGATCCAGTATGCCCTTTCTTTCTCCATCATAATCATGCTAATTATTTTTATAAATATATTGAACGATTCTATACTTTTTTGATTTTGTGCTATGCAACAGTTGACAGAACAACCAGTTTGTTGGCCCAAAAGTTATTAACCCTCAAGTAACCCCAAAATAGATCAAGTTCAATTTTCAATAAAACTTTAATAAACCCAAAACAAAAAGATGAAATATTGTGCGGGTAGGTCCGGAAAAAGAAAACCAAAGTTGCACGGTGGCTGCGTATTTAGTTCTATATTAATTTATCCATATTTAAATTCATTATTTTTTTTTTTTTGTTTTAATTTGCCTTTTTTCATTTTCATTTTCTTTTGTTTTTAATTTTCAAGTGCGCATTAAATTTTCTATTTTCTGTTTTTATGCGGCATTAAATTTATGTAGAGAACAAAAATTTTCTTAAGTTTTTATTATTTTCGAATTCGATTTATGCCATTCATTTCTCATACACACACACACACGCACACTTACATTATTCATTTTTGTGCTCTCTTATGTTCTTATAATTTGCGAAAGGCAACAACAAAATCATGTCATACCAACCGTGCAGCTCATCCAACATCGAAAAACTCATTCGCCTTGTTCTGTGGCACAAATGATCATCTCGTACCCATATAGTATATATATGCCATGCTCGCTCTTATACCATATCATGCATACTATATATACATAAATACTCTTGATGCCCATCATTGTTATGTCTGCCTTGTCACAAAAAGAAAAAAAAAACCGAAACATTTGTTGTGTCTGTAAAACAAATTCAATTCCGTTTTCGATTCATTGTCACGTGCCGTAAAGAAATACTCAAATAAGTTCTTGTTAGCCGGGGGTAGCCCAAAAAAAGATTTAATATAGAAAACATATTTTCGAAATGCTAAAAATTCTTTCTCCAGCCCATTATTCAGACAGCTATTTTAAGCAATGCCAGATTATTGCCTCAAATTTATTTCACACACAACAGAAAAAAAAGTTTATATAGTCATATATATATTTATAGATATAGATATATATATATATATATAGATAGAGCATAGTTTATATTAGTTTTAAATAAATTTCGTTTTAAGTTTACATTGCGAATTGCAGTGTTGGCGGTAAGTGGCAAATTATAAAGTCAATTTTAAAACAAATTCTAAAATTTAAAAACAATTTTCTAAAATTTTTAAAACAATTTTTCAAAAATTCTGAAAAAAAGAAACTTTTTGGGTTTTATCTTTTATTGACAGTAGCTAAATACTTTTTGGGGCAACTCAAGCTATGAGAACTTATTTACCATTCACCTAATCACCACGTACAGTTGAAACTCAATATGACGACACTCATAACATTTGAAATCGAATCAAGTCACATCACAATAAATCACTTTACATCACATCACATCACATTTCGTGGCACAGTGAACGAAACACATTACGCTTAAAGCTTAGATAATTTTTTATTTTTTAATCATTTTTTTTATTTTTTATTTTATTTATTTATTAAATTAGTAGCTTTATGGCCGGGCAAACATTCTCACATTAAGCCGCTCGAAGTCACAGCTATCTCTCTCTCTCTCTCTCTATCTCTCTCTTGTACCGTAATAGCGCTCTCAGTTTTAGTTACAAAGTATGGTTACGGTTTTAATTTAAATTATATATTTTATTTTTTTTTTGACAATTTGTTTTTCTTTTTATCTCTTCTCTTGGTACATTCTTATTGAATATAAAAATCTGGTGTCGTTGCGCTGAAAAAAATCAATTAAATTTTCAAAACACACTACATTAATTAAACATTAATTGAATTGTTCTTACTAATATTTGATAAACATGCTTCAATCTATAACCAAACCGGTTCTTGGGCTTTGCTCGCTTGCCTCTTGTGCTATTTGCTAAAACTAAACATAATTTGTGACTAACCCAACAAACTCCTCTCGATGCTGCTGCTATATATCCTCAACGTAACACACAACACACACATCACACATACATACACACATGGGTATTGCGTACTTCTACAAATAAAATATATATATATATATAATATATACACACCTGGTATATGGTTGCTTTATCTTATGGCGTATTTATGCTCGCTGCCTACAAAATATATCAAAATTACGATTAAATGCTGACCTTATTGTAATTCTTCTTCGCCAAACATTTCTCTCTCTGTCTCTTCTCTCTCTCTTAAACAATGCACCATACGCATAAACAATATCACCCCCAAACATATATATATATATATATAAATCTATATAGGCATGTCGTGAACGTGTCAAAAACTTGCATTCGAAAATAACCGCACGTAATGAGCGCATCAAATTGTTAATACATCGCGGCACGCCGGACGATGCTAAGCTAGAGATTTAGAGATGCCGCACAGCTATGGCAGACATTACTTATAAGTCATAACTATATATATATATATACACCGATGTATACTACATACATATACTAGAACTAGTTCGCCAAAGAAATGAAATGAAATTGAAAACCAAGCAAATGTTAAGCAGCCACCGCGGCGTGTCATGTTTACAGCTGCCACTGCAACAATCTCCCAATTTGGCAGTGGCAACAGCTAAACATGTCAGATCAGCCGTAATATATATATATATATATGCATACATACATATATATACAACATACATGACCCACAGCTTAAGAAAATTTACAAAAAAAAAAAAAAAAATTTATTAAATTATATATTATTTTTAAAATGAAAACCCCCACAAAGAGTATTTATTTAATTAGCTGAACCCAGTCTTAGACAGTTGATTTAGGTAGCTGTTAGGCCCATGATCTTTCAAACAAATGAAAGCTAACCGTTTTTTGGCAAATCTTCCCCCAATCTCTTTCTCTCTCCCAACACACACACTCTCTCTATATATCGATCGTTACCTGAACGCATAGGCAATGCGAGAATCAATCGATGGCATGCAGCAAAGCTACGACGCAACCGCCGCCCAATCCTATGCTCTGGATCCACATTCAGTGGTAACCACTTCATCGACTGTCTCGTTGCTTATGAAGCCAACGGCAGTAGGTCTAACCTATGCTGAAGTGTTATTAGGACATGCGAGTCCGGTAAGCGGTAATGAAACGGCGACGATCCCCCGACAAGAAATTCAAGAAACTCCCGACACGACCACGACCCAGACAACAATAACGACAAGTAGCCAACACCATCATGAACAACAACAACAACCACAGCAACAGCCACAGGCACAAACGAACCTAAACCAGCGCGATACAATCACAACAACGACAACAACAACAAGAACCACATTGACAACAAACGTACGCACGCAGGAGGTTGAGGAAACGAATTCGGAACCATTAACCACTGTGCTCTATCAGCGCAAACACCGTGTTACACCACCCAGCAGCAGTACTCCTAACGCCGACTATGAAGAGACAACCATCAGCAATTCCCGAGTGGAAGCGTCTAGCAGCTCATCCACATTAGATCAACAAGTTCCTAGCAGTAGCAGCAATCCCAACAGTCAGTTTATCGAAATGGAGCGCAGTCAGCAGCGTTCGAATGCGGGTAAGAAATTGCAGCCATCGCGTCCCGAACGTCGTGCACGTTCACCCCGACGCAGACGCGAACCACAAAGCACAGTGCAGGTGGATAGCACCCAACACCAACAGCAACAGCAACATCAGCAACAGCAGCAGCAATACCAACATCTCTATCTGCCGCAAGAAGATCGCGCGCGTTCGCGTAGCCCCATGTGGGTGCCGGGTTCGACATCGTATGCCGAAGTTTTGCGTGGCATGGAGCTGGAACGTCTAAAGGCCGAAGAGTTGGCTAGGCAAGCGGCCCAGCCGCATACAGATCTAACCATACAGGATGTGGTAGATGCCAGTGGGGCAGCGGCAAATATTTATGTGCCACATACCAAGCCGGAACAGCATCAGCAGTTCATGGGCGAGACTAGTGCCGACTTGGGCTATGGTCAACCGCAGCTAGAGCAGAAGCATTCGCAGTTACCCGGCTATGAAGTGCCCATGAGTGCGGAGGAGATTACCGCCACCTATTTGCAACCGGATCCACAACTCTATCAGACCATGTATGAGAATGTGGCCGACAGCGGCCAGTGGGGCTATGTGGCGGGCTCAAACGGGGAGCAGCAGGCAGTGCCACAAAACTATTACGATCAAATCATGCAGATGCAATATCCCATACAATACCAGCCTGTGGCTGTGCAGCCGACGACAACGCAGTACCAGCTGCTGACGGGCTATTATCAGCCTGTCGCGCAGGCTGAGACTTATCCGACGGTATATACTACGGAATCCTCACAAATCTATTATGCCCAACAGCCGCAGGAGTACGCACAGGAGTATAGCCAACAGCCCCAGCAGCAGCTAACGGATGTTAATACGGAGGTACCCGTCTATCAGTCGGAGATTGTAAATCAAACTTATCTGCTTGAGCCATACCGAGCGGAGGCAATTCCAACAACGACGTCTACAACAGGCAATAGCGTGCTCGACCGTGTGGTGACAACGCTCGCATCGATGGTGCAACAGAGTGCCGAGCCTCTAACAACGAGCACACAGCAAATACAGGCAACAGTTGTATTGCCGCAAACAGCTCATGAACAGGTGCCAGCGCCACAGCAGGTATTTATTGAGGAACATGTGCAAATGCTGCGACCAGTGGAGCCGCAAGAGTTTGAAATGAATGAACCACGTCCCGACATTACTTTTGGTCAGTTTGATGTCGATGCTATTGAGACCATACCCATTGAGGTGCCTCAGCCACAAACTCAGCAGCAACCACAACCACAACCACAACCACAACCGCAACCACAACCACAGCAAAACGTAATTACGACATTTGTGGAGGAGACAATTAGCTCACAACCGATACAGCCAACTGTGATAGCACAAAGGAAGGACACAGATACAGTTGTCGTTCGTCCCCAAGTGCAGCAGCCCAACAAGAATGTCTATCAGCAACAAGATCCCAGTGCTGGCAGCACCTATGCCGAAGTGCTATTTGGCCAACAGCATAGATCAGCACATCCAGTTTTCCAGCCATCCAGTCAACAGCAACATATTCCAGTACGTGTCGCGGCAGCCATGTCGCAAATCCGCAATGCTGAGCATGCAACAACAACAACGACAACAACAACTACAAAGCATACGACGTTAAGCACTACTACGTCCAAGGGCCAGCAAGGCAGGTGGACAGAAAAGTCCGATGACACCATTGAAGCAAGGATACCGAGGCCTAAACGGCAGCGACATGAACAGCAGCCGGAACCATTGCCCATCAAAGTGAGCAATAGGAAAGAGCCAAAAGCTAGCAGAAAGCATAAGTCTCCAGAGACAAATGGCGCCTCGATCGGCCATGTTGAGAGTGCACCAAAGGTAGTCCTAGTCGAAGAGATGCACAAGCCTGAGCCGAAACCAAGGAAGTCTAAGAAGAGCAAACATCTTTCAGAGGAGTTCTCGGACAAAAAGAATGTTGAGCCACTGCAGGAGGAAAAACAACCAGTGGAAACGACAATCACCAGCAAGAAGACGGCTAAGCCGGTTAGTGAAATTGTCAAGCAGATGAGAGATAGCAGCTACGAAGAAACTATTGTAGAGCAAACCAAGAAGGACAAGCAGAAGCCAACGATTGTTGTTGAAACAACGGAAATTACTTCAAAAACAGTGGAACCAATCGTTAAAGTAACAAAACCGGAAACAATTGCGGCAGTTGAAGTTACGCCCACTGTTAAGGCTCCATCAAGGAAAGACAAAAAGAAAACCAAAGCTGAAAAGGTAGAAACTGTAACTGTATCGAAGAAGCAGGTTGATCCTGTTAAGGAAGTCATCAAACCACATGAAGCAGAGCCCACAGCACCCTCGAAATTAGATGAGAAGAAAACGATCACTTCGTCTTCTGCAAAGCAAGTTGAGCCGGTCGAAGAAATAATAAAGCCTGCAGAAACTATTACAGTCGCACCCATTGCTGATCCATCATCGGTTACTTCTGCTTCAACCAAAAAGGATAGGAAGAAGACAACAACTATTGTGGAAACTACAACCACTACGACTGCTGAAAAGCTGATTAAGCCAGTTGAAGAAATTACTAAGCCAGCTGAAATCGAACTTGTTGTGACAACTGTTTCAGAGCCAACTAAAAAGGTTGAACCTGTTGTAGAAACTGCAACTGCTACAGTCAAAAAGGATAAGAAGGCAGCTATTATTGAGACATCTGAGAAAATAGTTCAACCTGTTGTTGAAGTCACTAAATCTGTTGAAACTGTAACCGTGACGCCTGCAGCTGAACAAACTCCAGCTGTTTCTGCTCCGACTAAAAAGGATAAAAAGAAAGCTTCGGAGAAAAAAATTGAGCCTGTTCAAGAAATCCCTAAATCTGCTGAAGCTGATCAAACGCCTGCTGTAGAAGAAATAATTAAAACAACTGAAACTATAGCAGTGGTAGAGCCTGCTCCTAAAAAGGATAAAAAGAAATCGAAAATTGTGGAAACAACAACTGTCACGCAGAACATAGTGGAACCTGTCGTAGCAGTTAGCAAGCAGACGGAAAGCGCACCAATTGTGGAAATTACAAATATCAAAATTCAGCCAGTTATCGAAGCTGTGACAGAAAAAAATCGTTGAAAAATTGGTTGAGCCTGCAATTGAACCTGTTCAAGTGAAGAAGGATGAACAGTCGCCAAAGGTTACAGAGGAATTAGTCATGGTGCAACCCACAGTTCAGACAGAAAAATCGAATAATGTTGAACCACTTGTGGAAAGCCTTTCTCAAGTATCTGAGCCTACAACAGTATCAAGGATCGATACGAATGAAACCTTACTGGAAAGCCAGCCAGTAGTAACAACGTCGACCAACACGATTTCTACAGAAAGCGGCACAACTACAATTACTACCAGGACCATAACGAAACATATTACCAAGCGCATTGTTAAGCGTATTATCGATGGTAGAGAGGAAATTGTAGAGGAAGATGTCATCGATGACTTACCCGAAGAGAATATATCTGTGGAGCAATTTGATTTGCCTTCAGTTGAAACGACAAGTTCTGTGCCCGGCAGCATCATCATGCCCGGACTAAGCTCAACTCTGGATACAACTGTTGTGCAGGGCGGCTCAATTACAAAAACTACAATAACTAAGACAAAGCGTATACTCAAACGCATCACCGCCGATGGCGAAGAAATTGTGGAGGAAGTATATGAGGATGAGCCCGAGGTGGAGCGCGATATAACATTGCTGCCGACTACAGTGCTTACTTCCAGGAATGTTACGGCTCTGGATGAACCAGCCGAATCTCAAGCAGACATAATTGGTGCAGCACAAATTGCAGTCGAGGAAATTGTGGACAAAGCTGAGCAAGTGCTTGAACCCGAACCGCAAAAGCCATTGCGTAAGGACAAAAAGGATGAAGATACAGTTATTGTCACAGAAACTGTTAAGGTCGAGCCCGAAAAGAAACCACAAAAGCCGACCAGAAAGGACAAGAAGAAGCACAAGAAATCCGAAAGCGAAGAAATCAAACCAAAAACAGACAGTCCCATTTCACAAAACGTGGTCGAAATAACTGAGCCACAATCACAACTAGAAACCACAGAGCCCCTGAATACAACAAGTGCAATTACAACAGACGAGAAACAAACTCAGTCATCCGATGGATCTGTTATCAGCGACGATGGCAGTCTAATCAAAACCACAGTCATTCGTACAACTAAGATTGTGAAAAAGATAAACCAACAAGACAGCCAGGACATGTCCACATCGATCCATTCGGATGTAGCTTCGTTGGATTCCTATGAACTAGCCGAAGAAGCTGCCGAAGAACCCAAAGTCGAGAAATCTGAAATGAACAGTCGCGAGGTCAGCGATGAGGGTGTAGTTAAGACAACCAAAACGACGACTATTCGTACGATTAAAAATGCCAAAGCCGAACCAGAAAAGGAACTCGTGCCTGAAGCTATTACCGAAGTGGAGAGTACACCTGAAAAGAAATCGGATGTTGATGTATCACAAACTGAAGATGGTTCTGTTTTGAAAACAACAATTGTTCGTACTACTAAAATAATAAAGAAAATTACCCAGGACTCGGAAACCATAAGCGAACACAGTAGTGCTTCAGAACCTGCCCTGGAGACAGTTGAAACCATCCTACAGGATGCTCCAATAGTAGCTGAATCGGTAACCACGGAGTCGAACAGCGAAGGCATTACAAAGACTACAACCACGCGAACAACAAAGGCTGTCGTTGAGAGTGCAGAGATTCCTGCAGTTGCCGAGCCGCAACAGGTTGCAGATCTGCTGTTGATAACGCCAAAAAACTACAGAGGTGCCGGAAAGTAGGAATATAAAGTCAACTACGCTGGATTTCATAGCCTCGGAAAAGCAGACTGCAGAACCTGTACCCGAGAAGAAGACGCGCAAATCGAAAAAACAGGAAAAACAAAAGGAAACTCCAATAGAAGCTGTGCCTAAGGCGAGTGTCGATATTCAGGTTGCTACTCAGGAACTTGTTGCTCCAGTTCAAGATGAACCTAAACAAACTGTTGACATTACTAGCGACATCGTTGCTGAACCCTACGATGCCAACATTAGCAATGATGTGGTTAAGACAACAATTACAAGAACTACAAAAATTGTCAAGAAAGTTGCCCAAAATGTTGATAAACAGAGCGTTAGTGAAGTTCAGGAAACCCAAACGCCTGATGAGCCAACTCCAGATGCTGTTGAGCCAACAAGTGAAGTGGCTGGTGGTGTAACCAAAACAACAACCGTGCGTACGACGAAAATTGTAAAGAAATTGAACGAAGATGGTGAGACAACAACAGAAAGCAGCACAATAAGCGAACCAATCACTGTGCGAGAAGCGTCTCCAACTATATCGGAATTACCAAGTGAAGCCTCAACCACATCTAGTCAAATCGATGGGGCCATCATTAAACAACAACAATTCGTACAATGCGCATAACTAAGCGCATAACAAATGACGGACGCATAGTACTGACCGAAAGCGACACACCTAGCGATGTTATAGTCACATCTAGTATTGAAATGCCCGATCATAGATCAACTAGTCCCATTGTGTCCTCGAGGCTGGATTCAGCTCCACCTGTTGTCACATCTAGCACTGAAAGTAAATTTGCTAATGTTGGTGTCAATATTGAGTTGGGCATTAGGGATACGACAGGCAAATCTGGCGTAAAGGTTGTAGATATTGAGACAACTGAACTACCGACTGTCAGCACAGAATATACTTCGACGAACGGGGCTCTGAACGAGTCAAGCCGCATTGCCACTACTACAACGACAACTACCAAAAATACAATCCTTACAACGACCCGTCAACGTAGCTTCGAAACCGAAGATGGCACAATGTCCTTTTCGTTGGAGAAGGCATTGACGGAGCCTATCCACCAGGCACTGTACAGAAAATTTCTCTCATCACTCATGAAGAGAAACTGAAGACTCCTATCGTGAAAATGCATCTAGATTTTCCGGAGGTTAGTCTTCGCGTGACCGAGACTGTTACCGAAAACCTAGAGTCCCTGCAGAAAACCGCCGAAACTAGCGAGACTTCCATGATTGAGTTCGCCGAATCCAAACCAGAAGTAGTAGAAACAGATTCATTGAAACATCAAAAGAAGAGCAAATTCCTAAGGTAGAGTCAATAGAACAGGTTGCTAAGACAGAGGTTGTAGACAAGAGTAGTGAACCCCCGTCTGACTTAAGTCCAGAGGAGCAGAAACTATTCGAAGATATTCAAAAGAAACTATCCAAAAAAGATAAGAAAAAGCGGCCAGCAATCCCCGAAGAGTTCATTAAGCAAGAGACAATTCAGGTGCTTGTTGAAGAAAGTAAAGGTAATGAAACAATTAAAATACCTATTGCAGATGAAAAACCATCTCCATCTTTCATCCCAATTCCTTCACCCGACTGGTTCTAGGGAACTTAGTGCAGAATCTTTCTCAAGATATATCATTGATTTCAAAAGCAAAGATCATTGAGCATGCCAAGGCTGATATACTATACCGTGAAAAAATGCAAGCAACGCCAGAAATTCCTTCTAAAACTCAAGTAGAAACGCAAATTGATATTCCATGTGAAATTCAGTTACTCCCCGACCCTACTAATATTGCTAATCAAATTGTTCCTGCCAAGCCAAGCGCATTAACTGCTGAAGGCATTTGTGGTTAACACGGTAAGCACTTTAAATATCACTAATATTCCAACTATTTGCCCAGCTGATAAAATTTATGAAATTCCCAAATACAATTTATCTCAATTCAATATTGCTGAGAGCGATTATCACAAAATCAATTCGAAGCCCACGTCTGTCGAAACTCCATTACCTTCGTTATCTGCAGAAACCTTTACCGGTTGTAAGTACGGTAAGCTCTGTAATAACAGAAAACTTTAGTTGTTGCTTCCCCTGAACATCCCAAGCAACTTCCCACTGTAAAAGATAAGATATATGAAATTCCCAAATACGACATGTCTTCATTTGAAACTGCTGAAGGTTATTATCACATAATCAATGCCAAGCAATCTCCGGAAATATCTTCAACACCAGTCGAGGAACAGCAACCAGCTGTCGCGGAACATTTAATTACAAACACTCCGATGATTCTCCTGTTGAGACTCCTTCACTTGAAATTGAAACAACAAAATCCATCTCTAGCCCTGAAGAGCAGACTCCCACAACAACAGAGAGGGTATTTGAAATTCCAACATACGACATCCGTTCATATAATACTGCTGAGGGTAAATACAACATTGCCAAAACTAAACCTGAAGAAATACCGATAGAGCAGAAACACCCTGTTGAGTCGCCCTTGATCGTTGAAAACTGACGTAGTTAAAAAACAAACTGTGGAGGACAACAAAACTCAAATTGAACAATATCACAGAAGTCAAGGATGAAAGGCCTTCCGTTATAACTACGAGGTTCCCAAGTATAATACTTCTGATCAACGTCGAGCTGAAAATCTTCTCGCAGTAATTCTTCACGATTCTGAAGCACCACAAGTGGTAGATATCAAGCCATTGGAGGCTAACGCTGAAACAAATACTACAATTGTGGAAGCAGTCAGCGAATCTGAAACAGTGAAAATACCACTGAATGTGGAAATCGAAAGAAACCAGAGGAGCGCAAGAATATACAAGAAGAACCAATACAGAAACTTCCAGTCGAGAAGACATCCGTAACAGTGACAACTACTACCACTGTAAACTGAAACTGTTAGCGAGACAACTCTCCCAGAAGATCCCAAGAAGGTTGAAGCAGATAAGAAAACCTGAAGAGCCGAGAAACCAGCATATGCTGGACTGCCTGTAGATGATTCGAGTAGCACTTGGATGGACGTTCTGGATGAACCAATGACTTTTCTCTGATGACGAGGAAGAACCAACAAAGGAAGTTCCAGTTGAGGAAGTTCCAGTTGAGAAAGCGCCAGTTGCTGAACCTGTTACAACAACAATTACAAAGACAGTTGTGAGCCCGAGAAGGTTGTTGAGTCTTCCGGTTTCAGAAGATACAAAGACAACAGTAACAGTCACATCAACTACTACTGTAACTGAAAATGTTAGCGAGGCAACTCTCCCAGAAGAACCGAAGCCGGTTGAACCCGAAAAGAAACCTGAAGAGCCGAAGAAAACCAGCCTATGCTGGACTACCCGTAGATGATTCGAGTAGCACTTGGATGGACGTTCTGGATGAACCAATGACTTTCTCTGATGACGAGGAAGAACCAACAAAGGAAGTTCCAGTTGAGGAAGTTCCAGTTGAGAAAGCTCCAGTTGAGGAAAGCGCCAGTTGCTGAACCTGTTACAACAACACATTACAAAGACAGTTGTTGAGCCCGAGAAGGTTGTTGAGTCTTCGGTTTCAGAAGATACAAAGACAACAGTAACAGTCACATCAACTACTACTGTAACTGAAACTGTTAGCGAGGCAACTCTCCCAGAAGAACCGAAGCCGGTTGAACCCGAAAAGAAACCTGAAGAGCCGAAGAGAAACCAGCCTATGCTGGACTACCCGTAGATGATTCGAGTAGCACTTGGATGGACGTTTCTGGATGAACCAATGACTTTCTCTGATGACGAGGAAGAACCAACAAAGGGAAGTTCCAGTTGCGGAAGTTCCAGTTGAGAAAGCTCCAGTTGAGAAAGCTCCAGTTGAGAAAGCGCCGGTTTGCTGAACCTGTGACAAACAACAATTACTAAAACAGTTGTTGAGCCCGTGAATGTTGTTGAGTCTTCGGTTTCAGAAGATACAAAGACAACAGTAACAGTCACATCAACTACTACTCTAACTGAAACTGTTAGCGAGGCAACTCTCCCAGAAGAACCGAAGCCGGTTGAACCCGAAAAGAAACCTGAAGAACCCAAGAAACCAGCTTATGCTGGACTACCCGTAGATGATTCAGGTAGTACTTGGATGGACGTTCTGGATGAACCAATGACTTTCTCTGATGACGAGGAAGAACCAACAAGGAAGTTCCAGTTGAGGAAGTTCCAGTTGAGGAAAGCGCCAGTTGCTGAACCTGTTACAACAAACAAATTACAAAGACAGTTGGTTGAGCCCGAGAAGGTTGTTGAGTCTTCGGTTTCAGAAGATACAAAGACAACAGTAACAGTCACATCAACTACTACTGTAACTGAAACTGTTAGGCGAGGGCAACTCTCCCAGAAGAACCGAAGCCGGTTGAACCCGAAAAAGAAACCTGAAGAACCCAAGAAACCAGCTTATGCTGGGACTACCCGTAGATGATTCGAGTAGTACTTGGATGGGACGTTCTGGATGAACCAATGACTTTCTCTGATGACGAGGAAGAACCCAACAAAGGAAGTTTCCAGTTGCGGAAGTTCCAGTTGAGAAAGCTCAGTTGAGAAAGCTCCAGTTGAGGAAAGCGCCGGTTTGCTGAACCTGTGACAACAACCAATTACTAAAACAGTTGTTGAGCCCGTGAATGTTGTTGAGTTCTTCGGTTTCAGAAGATACAAAGACAACAGTAACAGTCACATCAACTACTACTGTAACTGAAACTGTTTAGCGAGGGCAACTCTCCCAGAAGAACCGAAGCCCGGTTTGAACCCGAAAAGAAACCTGAAGAACCCAAGAAACCAGCTTATGCTGGACTACCCGTAGATGACTCGAGTAGCACTTGGATGGACGTTCTGGAGGAACCAATGACTTTCTCTGATGACGAGGAAGAACCAACAAAGGAAGTTCAGTTGAGGAAGTTCCAGTTGAGAAAGCGCCGGTTTGCTGAACCTGTTACAACAACAATTACAAAGACGTTGTTGAGCCCGAGAAGGTTGTTGAGTCTTCGGTTTCAGAAGATACAAAGACACAACAGAACAGTCACATCAACTACTACTGTAACTGAAACTGTTAGCGAGGCATCTCTCCAGAAGAGCCGAAGACGGTTTGAGCCCGAAAAGAAAGATGAACCCACTAAGGGAAGAAAGAAAAACCAGCAAATAAAGTTCCGTGAGAATGCACCCGTTACTGAATCTGCTTTCACTTCAATCAAAGACACAGTCAATGTGCCCCGAGAAGGTTTTGAATTCGTCAGTTTCAGAAGATGTAAAGACGACACAAAAAGTTACTAAACCGTCACTGAAACTGTTAGCGAAATTCAAGAACCAGAGAGTGACTCAGAAAATAGCCCTGCTTATTCAAACTTGACACTTGAGGGTCCAATTTGACACCTGGTCGAGCGTGCTGGAGGAATCGTCGCCGAGCTCGGGAAGTGCAGTTTTCATATCAACTTTGTCTGCCCGATTGCTCCAGAATTTACGCCGTCTTATCTGAGGCCTGCATATGCTGATCAAACGCACACATTCCTTGCCAATGAAAGAGTATATAACGAGTTCATTCCACGAAGCAGAGCAGATCAACAAATGCCACAATCCAAGAAACCAAAGAAAGTTATAGCCAGCGAAGCGATCAAAGAAACCTGTAGATGAACCCCTCGCAGGAAAGTTCCTATTGATGCTGCTCCAGTACCTTCCACATTTGTTTTGGATTCAGAGACAATAGCAGAACCAAGTGTGTGGGAAAACATACAGAGACGGAAAGTCTTTACGCAGACGTTTTGTTTTAGCGCAGGCGACAATTTGAAATCACAAAAGTTCGGAAAGCCTGTAACAGTTCATGAATCAAAATTGGAAGTTGATGTTGAGCCGTTACCCAAGACCGATAGGCCAAAAGAGCACAAGAAGAAGCCGAAACAAGAAAAACAAAAAGCCTGTGGAAACACATCCAACCAAATTTAAGTACAGATTCATCAAAGCCTGCCAACCACTAGCTCTAAGGAACCCTCATCTGATGAGCGCGAAGCTGCGAAACCATCTGAACTGACTTGGTCTGCCTTAGTGCAGAGACCTGGAGAATGGACGGATACTACAGTAATCAAAAAGAAAGTAGTACATCCAGAGACAACTCTAGATGATAAAAAACCCAAGAAGGAAGAAAAACCAGAGCGAAAAACTACAAAAACAAAAAAATCAAAGAAGTCTAAGAAACCAGTTCAAGAACAAGTTTCCTCCACCACCTCCGAGGATGAGAAGCAAGAACCTGAAGTAGCAATACCAACAACACATACAAAGAAAATAACAGAAACGATTATTGTATCGAAACCTGCAGAAATTATAGAGC